GTGTGCAGTACTGCCATTCAGTGTCACCACCCTCTGCATGCAGACACTGATGTTTCCTCATAGGGATGCATTAATTAAATTCATCTATATGAAGAGATGCTGATTTGCCAGGGCTGTTTTTGACATGTGCTGGCTCTGCCCTTGATCTGCCTCCGTGACAGTCTCAGCCAATCCTATGGGGAAGCATTGTGATTGGCTCAGACCACCACTTCTTATTATGTCAGCAGACAGTAGGCAGTTCAGGGGCAGAAGCAGCAGCTGCAGACTTGAATACAAGTAAGGTTTCACTATATTTAGGGAGGCAAGAGCGGGTTAGGGGGCTAGATGGTGAATTTAACACTATAGGATCAGAAATAAATGTTTGTGTTTCTGACCCTATAGTGTTCCCTTAAGGCCAATGTTAATGGACTGGAATCACAGCTCACTTGGAGAATTTTTCCATGCAAGCTATTTTGTTTTTAAAGGAAGACTACATTCATGCAGACCACTTCATATCAATGAGGTGGTCTGGGTGCAGTGTCCCTGTCCCCTTAACCCTAGAATGTAAACCACTGCCATTTTTGAAAAACTGTTGTGTTTACTTTGGAGAGTTTACTCCTTGTCTAGTGGTTGTCACTAGAGGTGCTTCCGTGGTACAGACCAAGTAAATCTCGTTTAGGTGATGTGGAAGCCCCATAGACCAATTGACTCAATGCTTCCGATGGTAAATTTTAAACAAGCATGCGGCACTCGCCATTTGGTCCCAATGCTCCAATATGAGGAGCATTGGAATGAACCCTCATGGAGGGTTGGCATGGGAGAAGAAGTCAAAAAAAGAACTAACTAAAAGATTTACTTACCTTATACCAGTGCTGAGGGAGCCTCAGCAATGGTATAAGGTAAGCAAATCTTTTAATTAGTTAATTTTTATGGCACCTGGGACCAAGAGTAGGGAAAGGAACACTAAGGGGAAGGGGAATCTTGAAAGGAGTAAGAAGAGGGGCACTATAATATTAGGAGTACAAATTTGTATTCTTAACCCTTTGGCGTTCCTTGAAATTTAAAACCCATGTTGAATTAACTTTGAATTTCTGCCAATTCACACTTTAACCCTTTACATGTTTTAGACCAGGGCCTGATTTACCCAAAACAGCTGCCTACAAGCTCCTTTCTACTAAGGATGTCTAAGCTAATATGACATATTCCATTATATATATATATATATATATATATATCTTTATATATATATATATATATATATATATATATATATATATATATATATTTATATAGGTTTTAATTTTGTAGCAAATATTGTCTAAATTTGTGAATCAACAAATTTGCTTTCAGTCTCTCTGGGACTTCTTCCAAAGCTATTTCTTTTCTCTAGGGGGTGGGTCGGTTGGGGCACCTACGATTTCTGTGCCTACAGGCACCTGAGATGTAAATTCAGGTCTGTCCCTTATTAAGATTTTGGCTGGAATGAAATTTATTCTGCTATCTTAATTTTCCATTTCCTTATACGCTTCCCATCTGGATTATAAAACCCATATGTATATGATGTATGATTATTCATGCTGGGTGACTGATACTTATCATGTTTTCACATATTATTTTAATCGTGAGTTTTATTTTCACCAGGCGGCAGAATCTCTTAGAACACTGCGAATGAAGCAATGAATACAAACGGTCACCTTGTTAGAGCCATACTTTGGATTTTCTTATCATTAATTTACCAATGCTTCCTGCAAGCTGTGGGCAGATGGGGCTGTCATGTTCATCCCACCTTTCTGGCAATGACATTATGAGCTAAGTTTAGAATCACCCAGCAGGCCTTACACTATATATTAAAAAAAAGTCTTCCAGCACACAGCCAAGCAAGCAGACAAGACTGGATGAGCAATGCTTTGTGTGCTGTAACCATGCATCCGCAGATCCATGGCAACACGAAGAAGAAGAAAATATTTAGGAACATTTTCTTACCTAGAGCAGATTCTTAACATTGCTCTGCAGAATGGATGATGCACAGGATTACACACATAGATTGATGCAGACAGGATACGAGATCTGGATCTCATTATCTGACAGGGATAGAATGATACATTTGTAAAAAGTGTTCTTTTTTTGTGTGTGCATTGTATACTGGCATGATAATTCCATTGCTTGTCTCTGCTGCAGGCAGTTATTGCTCACAAGGTTTAATGTGGATTTACAGAAAACAGAATTAAATCAACACTCCCACCTAGTGGCGAATTTTGATATTCTCAACACTGAAACAAGTTTGGCAAAAAAAAGTTATTTAGCTGGATTGTATAATCCCATTATATAAACGGGTCCTTGTTTACATTCAGTTGTAACAACATAAAGTTGTTTTAGGTATAATAACATTGATTTTTGTTAATCAATGTTATTAACTTGACCTGTTATGGTTTTATTGTTGTGGCTATTGTGTATGTTGACAATACAAATCATTGTACTTTATGTATTAATTAACTTTATCTACTAAATTACATTGGGAAAATGCACCTGATCACACTTGGAACTATGCCTTTTTGTGTGACATTGTTAGACTTGATGACATCACATCTGCTAAAGCGTCCTACCGATCTGTTCAGTGAGAGGACATTTTTCTTTCTCCTTTTTGTAACTGATTCACTAGCAGAATATGTCACAGATGCCATAATTAAAGGACTACTATAGACACCCAGACTACTTCAGCTCAATGAAGTAGTCTGGGTGCCAGGTCCATCTAGGATGCCTGCTGTAAACATAGCAAATGCTATGTTTATAAATGGGTTAATCCAGCCTCTAGTGGCTGTCTCATTGACAGCCGCTAGAGGCGCTTCCGCGCTTCTTACTGTGATTTTCACAGTGAGAATATGCCAGCGTCCATAGGAAAGCATTGAGAATGCTTTCCTATGGACTGGCTGAATGCGCGCGTGACTCTTGACGCGCATTCACATTCAGCCGATGACGACCGAAGGAGGAGGAGAGTCCCCAGCACCGAGGGAGCCCGGCTCTGGAGAAAGGTGAGTGTTTAACCCCCTTCCAACCCCTTCAGCCCGGCGGGGGGGCACCCTCAGGGCACTATAGTGCCAGGAAAACGAGTTTGTTTTCCTGGCACTATAGTGGTCCTTTAAGAGTACACCTGTCATGAAAAAATGACAAGGCTTCACTTTAGTACAGAGTACTTCACTTTAGACTGTGTGGAGCTCACAGCACAGCAAGGGTGTGAGCAGAGGCTCTCTGGGCTCCCCCTTTCCTCCTACAAGCTGGGCAACAAAAAAAAGGTCCAGGACTATAAAGCCATACATTCAGGGCTCAATCAAACCCTTAGTGATGCCCTATATTTACTAGAGAATGCTAGATATCATATAGAACAGCTTAAAAAAAAAAATGTCCCCCCAGTGTCACTTTTTTTTATTTATAAAATATTTTACCAGGAAGGATATATTGAGATTTCTCGTTTTCAAGTATGTCCACAAAACATTGCATCGTTACAATAGGGTACAATACAATACAAAAACAATATTAATACACATTTGTTAGAATATTGTGTACGTCAAGAAAATGAGAGCATGCTAATATGTAATAGTATACTGCAAGCTTCCAAGACCCCATAGGTGCCTTCTTCATGCGTAATATGATATATCAGAGCAGATCATTGTGTTACTACCCAGGACACCTTACAAGCGATCTTTAACGCGCACTGTTAATTTATCTCTGGTTTTTCACATGAAAGCACTGGTCCCCACAAATGAATGGCTGAACAGGGTACAAAGGAGCAATTACCCACCTCATAGGTGAGAAAAATGTTAAAGCAGAACCACAGCACTCATAGTCCATAAGCGTCTCCACTTAAAGAGGCTTCCATTCCTCTTTTCTATCATAATGACCCTCTTTTCTAGGAGTTCCATATTGTTGGTGGGTCTGAGTGTATAACAAAGCTCCATTTAAGAATCCTTACAGGAAAGCATTCAATTAATGCTTTCCTGTGGGGAATTTGAAGACGTTAGACGTTCTCAAAGGGTGAGAACGTCAAGAGTCATTTATAGGAGTACATTTTCTTTAGGGACCAGGAAGTGCCTCTAGTAGCTGTCTGGAAAACAGTCACGAGAGGTAGACTAAACTCTGCAATGTAACTATTGCAGTTTCTCTACCATTGCAGGCTAAGGGTACAGGGACACCGCACACAGATCACTTCAATAAGATGAACTAGTCTAGATGCCTAAAGTGTCCCACTTTGACTATTCAAATGTTGAGAGGTAATTCTGTGTCAGTGCACACCAAGCAACAATATTAGCATAATTTGCAAACACCCCGGGAGGTGACAGAGCCTTTAACATATAAACATAGAATGTGGCGGCAGATAAGAACCATTCGGCCCAACTAGTCTGCCCAATTTTCTAAATACTTTCATTAGTCCCTAGCCTTATCTTATAGTTAGGATAGCCTTATGCCTATCCCACGCATGCTTAAACTCCTTTACTGTGTTAACCTCTACCACTTCAGCTGGAAGGCGATTCCATGCGTCCACTACCCTCTCAGTAAAGTAATACTTCCTGATATTATTTTTAAACCTTTTAAAGGCAAGTACAAATTAACCCGGCAAAAAACAAAACCGTTACCAAAAATTGTTTTGGTTTTCCTTTCCTTATGTCCCTTGCGCTTTGTGACTTACTATATAATAAGAATATTCAATTAAAAAAAAAAAAAAAAAGTTTAGTGAAAATCTGGTTTATAAAGTGACAAGTCTTAGAGGTTTCTACTGCTATAAAATGTAAAGACTCCACTTTAACCAGTCCTGACTCTGTGACTTTAAACCAGGCCCTGCAGCTTTACACCTTCAACTCCCATTAAGCTTAGCCAGGCTTTACAACTTGTCCTAGCTGACACACAACATCCAGGCTGGAGTGACTCCTTTGCCTGCACATGTTCTATTATCTGTGCAGGCACGTCTTGGCCACCTCAATTAGCTGCACGTTCTGCTCAGGCAGCTCCACAGACACCTCAATGCTGCCGAGGACCCCGGAAGTGCACTTATTGCATGGAGTCAGTTCCAGGGATTTAAATGCGGCTGAGGCTCTCTATAAGCAGTTTGGGGAGCTGCATGGTCCAGGCTGCTTTATAAACGGGTCTGGCTCATGGAGACAGTGGTTTTGGTTGGTTGGAGAGCTTAAAGTGAGAAATGTGGACTGAACAAGCTGTGCTGTTCCCATACATTGTTTGATCTGTACACTCAGGTATATGAAATCTCATGGCTACTTACTGTAGGTTTCCTCCTTAAGACAATATTTTAATTTCCTTTAGGAATAAACAAGGAAGCTTTAACAGCTATGCCTAAATAGCAGAGTGTTGGGAAAAATAAATATTTAAATAAATAGGATTTATATAGCGCAGATGTATTCCGCAGAACTTTTACAATATTATAAAACGGGGGGGGGGGGAATTTAACAATAAATGAGTCAATTACAAAATGTTACATGGACAATAGGCTGACAAGGGCACTGCTCAAATGAGCGTCTAATCCTACATTTTACAGTACCTCTGCCTATTTGATGTAATTCATGGTTTAGTGAATAATTGCATGCCCGTATATTGATGCGTTACAGGACCTGTATTGCCAGTAGCTTCATGGCTGTGGTTTAGTTGTGCAAAGTGAGACCCCCGTTGCTCTCTATGCTGCATTCTGTTAAACAGGTTAAGTTTTTAAATATGTATAAATTTAATAGAACCTTCTTTTGAAATTTGGCATGTATGGCTGCAGAAAAAAAGCTACTGGAGTATTTTTGACCATTTTGATTTTCCATGCCTTTAGGATTAGTGGGTAATTTTATGGATTTTGCAACATCGCTTTTCAGAGGAGACTGAACACCCGTGGTACAGATTTTCGCAATCTCCTGATTTATTGCCTTTCACTAAACGCTTATTATTAATACGGTATGTCACCGTAACATGGTTATTCAATAAATGGAGAATTAACCAGGGGGTGGCAAGTATTAGACCTAAATGGCTAATCTAGAAAAATGGCTTTATTAGAGAATTTTTTTTCACTTTAGATTTATTGTCCTAATAAAAATCGGCACTCTCGCTTCCACGTTACACGTGTCAGTTTTCAGACACTGAATAGTATTGATAGGCTAAAAGCATTGGGCTAATCAAGCCTCATTATTCAAAACCAGGCTGGACAAAACTGATAAAACGTGGAACTGTAAATTAAATTATGTCTGAGGTGGGGCGGTCTTGTTGCCATGGAGAGTCCTTAAACTGCTTCTAAACAGTTTGATATAATACTAGAGGGCAGTGCCCAGACACTCTAAACAACTACACTGAGTTTTAGTGGTTATCGTTGTATATATTGCTTAGCATGAAACGTTAATTGTAGTCTTTTTGGATGTTTTATCATGCTGTGTTTGATCCATCCTTGTAATATATATTTTTCAAGGAACCAGGAAAAATGAATGCGACATCCAGTACTGCAACACCACCTGATTCAGAAAAACCTGTGAAAAAACATTTCAAAGTCACAAGGTTTATTATGGAAGCAGGTAAACCTTTTTATTTTTTATTTTTTTTTTATATTTCATAATTGTATTTATGATGTGCTTAGTAGTCATTGTAAAAATATACAGGTTTATACACTAAACAATTGTGCCAAAGTGACTGGGAGCTAAGACATTTTAAGCAAGAATAGCTTGGCTAGAAAGGTATTCCAAAGCAACACTATTAGCCTCGATTTTGACATTCAAATTTTAATTTAATACTGTTTAGGTTTTAGAGACTAACTCGGCATGACTATGAATTAAAAGGACACTATAGTCACCAGAACAACTACAGCTTATTGTATTTGTTCTGGTGAGTATAATTCCCTTCAGGCTTTTTGCAGTAAACCCTGCCTTTTCAGATAAATGCAGTGTTTACATTACAGCCTAAGGATACCCCTACTGGCCACTCCTCAGATGGCTACTAGAGGTGCTTCCTGTGGCAGTATTGCCACTCAGTGTCTCCACCCTCTGCATGGAGACATTGAACTTTCCTCATAGAGATGCATTGATTCAATTAAACTCTGTGAGGAGATGCCGATTTGGCCAGGGCTGTGTTTGGCTTGTGCTGGCTCTGCCCATGATCTGCCTCCTTGACAGTCCTAGCCAATCCTATGGGGAAAATATTCTGATTGGCTCAGAGAATCACTTCTGATGTCAGACAAGCAGGCAGATCAGAGGCAGAGCAAGCAGCTGCAGATTTGAATAAAAGTAAGATTTAACTATTTTTTTTTACTTTTTATTTAGGAGCACAGTGCGGCTAGATGGTAGATTTAACACTATAGGGTCAGGAACCCAATAGTGTTCCTTTAACTTTTAATTGTCAACAATCCACTCTTTAAACAATGACTATAGAGGTCGAAATGTGTAATTTATCTTTCCTATGGTTTTAATCTCACACTGATTCTTCTTTCTATACACAGGTGTTAAGTTGGGAATGCATTCCATCCCAATTGCCACAGCCTGTACCATTTATCAAAAGTTTTTCAGTGAGACCTGTATGAATGACTATGACCCGTATTTGGTGGCCATGTCTGCAATTTACCTAGCCGGAAAGGTGGAGGAACAACATTTGAGAACCAGAGATATCATAAATGTCTGCCACAGGTAAACTACCCTTATTTCATACCCTGTTTCCAACCATGTAAAAAGAGACAGGCACCCAGACCACTTCTGCCCATTGGAGTGGTCTGGGTGCCAACTCCCACTATCCTTAACCCTGCAAGTTTAATTATTGCAGTTTTCATAAACTGCAATATTTAGATTGCAGGGTTAAGTCCTCCTCTAATGAATAGCCACTAGAGGAGTCTGTATGTACAAACTGCAGCATACAGAGTTTAACTCCTCTGCTGCCAGAGGAGTAATGCCACATCCAGCAGCGTCATTCCTGCATCATTAACTAATCCGAGACAAGTGTTCCAGGCTAACTAATGTCACTTCTGTGCATATTTTCCTCGCACAGAATTGCATTCATTGGCTGGCACTCTCAGCCGATGAATGGAGACTGAATTGGCTTGTGCATGTCTGCAGATTCTGGAAGTGCATCACCAGCACTTGGAGAAGGCCAGGAGCCCGGTGGGGACCTAAGTAAGAGGGTAAGCTGTTACTAAAGCAGGCTGTAGTGGTTATGATGTTTGGAATAAACCTTAAAGGGACGCTAAAGTCACCAAAACAACTTTAGCTTAATGAAGCAGTTTACGTGTATAGATCAAATCCTTGCAGTCTCGCTGCTTATTTCTCTTTAGGAGATAAATCACTTTTGTTACTTTCCATGCATCCTTAGCTACACCTACTTGCATGAAAACAGTTATTTCAGATTCAGTCAGATGTTAATTTGCTTTAGAATTATTATTTTTTTTTTATCTCCAGCTCTGTAAATTGAACTTTAATCATAAACACATGAGTCTCCTGCAAGGCCTCAATCCTGATTCATAACATTATGTACAGCATCATGTTTGGTTGTTTGTTTATTTTTTTTAATAGCAGATAGAAGAAGAAATATTCTTTTAATTTAGAAATCCATCCCTCTTTATCCTACATCTGGGTACCTCCAGCTGTCCATCATTGTTATAAACTCTGTTCTTTAAACCTGTCAGTCAGCATAGAGAGTAGACAGAGAAGAGGAGACTTGAAACAATGTTTCTATTTCATCTCTTTATTTGCAATGTTTACCTTTTGCCTAGCCCTTTTTAATTGGATTATGATGTCATTTGCTAAATCTGTAATGTGAAATTTTATTGCATGCCAGTTATGTATGATATGGCTTGCCCTGAGCTAAAAGTTTGCTGAATGGAACACTAAATGTAAAGCCAGACATTATTTTGCCTTCTTTTCTACGCAGGTACCTAAATCCGGGAACTGAACCTCTGGAGGTAGACGGCAAATTCTGGGAGCTCAGAGACAGCATTGTCCAATGTGAATTACTGATGCTCAGGCTCTTAAATTTTCGAGTTTCTTTCCAACATCCACACAAGGTAATAAAGAAAAGTCGCCATACTGTTAGAACGAATAGGTTATGGACAAAATCTATAGTAAATCCAAAAGGGACTGCGTTAAAAGCCTCCTGGCATGTGTTCTCAACACATGCTTATCCTAACTCCGAGCATACCAGATATATTCAATAGACTTGTGATGTTATGAGATTGAGATCAGTGTCTAAAAGAAACGCTCACTCTAATTTAAAGCAGGGCCGTCTTTAGCACAGCCCCCCTTGGATCCGGCGGTGCAGCTCTGTCCCACACGCTAAAGAGGGCCCCCGGGTGGCCCATGCACTAAGGGCCACCCGGTGGGCATTTGTCAGCTGGGGCCCGGTCAGGCGCTGTGACGCTTAAACAGCGCCACCGGGCCCCTTCCTGTTTGGCAGCCGGCTGGGAGGAAGTGAGTGTCGCCCGTCACTTCCTCCTACCGGAGATCAGAGCTGCGCGGGAGGAGGAAAGCAGGGAGGAGGGGAGTTCCAGAGGAGAACTCCCAACTGCCTCAGCCTGCCACTGGACCCCAGGGAAACCACTCTCCAGAAAAGGTGAGGGTGGCTAAATGTATGTCAGTATGTCTGTGTGTGTGTCACCGTAAGTCTGCCTGTGTGTGCCAATAATTCTCTCAGTGTATGTGTCTGTGTGTGTCAGTAAGTCTGCCTGTGTGTATGTGTGTCAGTATGTCTGAATGTGTGTCAATATGTCTGCCAGTATATATTTGTGTGTGTGTGTTAGTATGTATCTGTAAATGTTTTAATATGTCTGTGTGTGTACGTGTCAGTATGTCAGTGTGATTGGGGGATGGGCGTAATTGGGGGCGAGAGGGGATTGGGAGGGCTGCAGGGCCCCAGGGGCCCAACAAAATTCTTTGCCCAGGGTCCTATTCATATTATAGATGGCCTTAATTTAAAGACAAAAGAAAATTCAGCCAGTCCTGATTTGAAAAAAAATACGGTGCACTACCCCTTTAAATCCATTTACGTTACATATCTTGACTGTATTTGAGCGTATTAAAGTGACCGTATACTATGCTCATGGCATTGGTTTTCCTAAACGGACACATACTCTTCCTTCCAGTATCTCCTGCATTATCTGATGTCTCTAAAAAACTGGATGAACAGGCACAGCTGGGACCGAACCCCTATTGCCAAAGCTTCCTGGGCTCTCCTTAGGGACAGCTATCACAGTGACATTTGCCTTCGGTATGAAGCACAGCATATCGCCGTGGCTGTGCTGTATTTTGCACTGCAATGTTATGGGGTGGATGTACCAAGCAATGAGAGTTCTGAGACTCCGTGGTGGCAGGTAAGGACTCTAATAGTGTGTTGCTTCTCAGTATATATTTATGCCTCACGTTGAGGTCCAAGCCATAGGTAATAAGAACTTTGAATGTCTAGGCTGAAGTTGGTGTAGACCATGTTGCTTAAGTCTGCAGAGAAGAGTCTCAGCTGACTTCAGTGACCTAAGACTGCAGCTTCATGTCCAGCTACTTTAGTTAGTAGCCAAGATTATTATGCCCAGTTTGTCGTTCTCATGGATCCTAATCCATTTCCCAGATTTTTTCCCCTCCATGTATTGCCTCTTTTGTAATATGATTTAGACCAGCATTTATTAGATGAGCTGTCAAGAAAATATTGTTCAGTAGAGTTGGACATTGGTTTAACACCGTAATAAATATCAAGAATATATACATCTACACATATAGAGCCTTCTTCCACTGCCAAGGATTTTGCAAATGTATATAAAATACAGATTCCATTTCCCTTTTTTTTTTTTCTTGAATGTAATTTTGGGTTAAAAAAAAATAATCTGTATGCGTTGACATTTTTATGTGTGTGTGTTTACCACCTTAGGCTGCCAGGCATCAGATCGCACTAGTAGATTCCAATAATGTCTATCCGCACAATATTTCTCATCTTGCAGTAGTTATGTAGAATTTTATATATACAAAATCTATTTTTTTTTTTTTCATTTTGGTTTTAATATTTCTATTCTTACATAATTAAAGGGACACGATGATAGTCCCCAAAACTCAGATAAAAATGTCTGAAGTAAGATAACATCTTAACATGAAAATGAAACCGTCACTAGGCTGTATTGTAAACACTGCATTTTCTCTGAAAACCGTGTTTACAGCAAAAAGGCTGAAGGGAACGATTGTACTCACCAGAACAAATTCAATAAGCTGTAGTTGTTCTGGTGACTATAGTGTCCCTCTAATAACTGCAATAATTACCTTTGCAGAGTTAGGAGACCTGGGAATGTGCACTCAGCAAAAGCACCAGAAAGGCCTCAGTTACAAATGCACAGAATCTCAGAATGGCCTTAAGTCACTAAGTGTTTAAATATTTATTACAAATCGTATCTACTCATTTGAATTCAAACAGGCTACATTTTCTGTTCCATTTTATCATTCTGTTTTTTACAGGTTTTTAGTGAAGACATTACAAAGGTCATTATCGACCATATCCTCTACGATTTGATCAATGTCTATACCATGGACGCTGAAATAGTTTGACCTGCTTTAGATCAGAAGGTTATGGACTGCACAGAGGTCGTTCAAGCTATAAACATTTGCTTGCATGTCAAGATGGCATATCGCCATAGCGTGGATCTTCAGAGGAGGAGAAATTATCTTTGGACTTTATGTTGGCTCCAGTTTAGATGCGCAAATTGCTATTTCCAGTGAATGGAGTATGTTAAGGAATTAGATAAGGCATGCAATTTTTTTTATATTTTGAATTTTTCTCCACATGAAAATGTTAAAATTCTATTTAATTGTATTTCTCCACAACAGAACTGTTGAAATGTTTCATAGAAATATTTAGTTTTTATAAAAAAAAAAAAATTAAACCAATTTAATGTGTTGCCTTTTTTTTTTTGAAAATGAAAAGTAAGGCCTATTGCTTATCTCAAACATGTATTCCAAAGGTTATAGTGGCGTAAAATTGTAGAGATTTGTAAACATCTGACAAGCAAGGTCCAGCTTGCGGGTTCCTCAGGGACCCCCAGTTTTTATCTAACTGCTGAAATGTTTAGCCAAGAAAATGGGGAGGATGCAACCTGCAGAATAACAGCAAGACAAGTACTACATCAATATGTAGTGGTTATGGTGCCTAGACTGCTGTTTAAAGGGATACAATTTACTTAAAAAAATAATTAAATAAACCTAGAATTGGGTGGATTTTTTAAATCTTCAATTAAGTCCAACTGTCATGGGTGACCTTTTTAGCATGGTTTCATCTTCAAGCAGAGAGACTTGCAATTTGCAGATTCATCTTCATGAATTGGAGAATGAAATACATGGTATTGAAATTAGTTTTTCCTGGATACATTTTTAGAACGTATTTCTACATTATTTACTTATTATCTTACTTGAGTCATTGTATTCTAGAGGCACAAAGATGTTTTCCCTACCTAAAATATGTGTCTGTCTCTCTGGTCACCCTCCTGTTTCCTACCTTTTAGATGCAGGAGGGTGACTTTCCCTGGGGTCCAGTGGTGGCTCAGGTTGATGGGAGTCAGTTCCCACTCGACACCCTCTCCTTCCTTCCGCGTGGCTCTCTGATACCTGGGAGGAATGACTGGGGTCCACAGCGCCGGCCGGGCCCTCTGGAAATCCATACTCATAGGGTGGCCCTAACAGGATGGGCCTCTTAAATGTGCGGCCGGGGCCGCAAAACATGGCGTCTGGTCGCAGGGCGGCCGGGCCCCCTTGAGTGACTGGCCCGGTTGCAGCGGTGATCCCTATATGTACGCCACTGATAGGGTAAGTTGTCACTCAGCCATTGGTTTGCAATATTAGAACTAGCAGTTCAATTAAAAATGTTCACTCATTAGAGGAGATATCTGATAATTTCGATCTTTTCCAAAACTTTTTGGGACTGTAGTGAGCATAACCATCTCAGTATTTTGATTGAATTAAAAAGAACCAATATTGTTTATGTGAAATGTCTAAATTTTCATTGCATTTCAATTGACAAGGATGGTCACCGTCTGGTAAGAATAAAGATGATACTAAAGAGATACTCCAGGTGGGAATTGGCCACTATTTGTTATGTATAATGTTGATAGTGCATTAAAAAATAGAAGGGGAAAAAAAAACTTGCTTGGCAGTATCTACTTTGTAACATTCAGAGATGAACCACTTTAGCTGCCAAAGGTGTAACTCGACCTCCGGAATAATGTTTTTTTTTTTTTTTTTCTAAGCGACAACCTTAGGAAAGATTTCTCTAACCACAACCAGTATTCTGTGAAAACACTGACTTTTGGTTGGAGTAAGTTTTACCTGCAGAAGATTATATTTTCCAAAAACTGGACAATGTAGCTCAGTTATTTGATACAAGATCGGTAGTAACTTGTTTTGCATTTGTATGGATCAACAGGCATGTGTAGAATTTTCCTATGTTACTGTGTTTTGACGTTACAGCCATTGCGGAAAACTTTATTGCCTTTGTGTGATAGTAAATAGGTGAATTATTTAATAGATCTAAGGGGGGTTATCTTTATGCATCACATTGTCACCAACATTGCCTTAAAATAGTGCTTAGTCTTTTACAATCCCTTTAATTCTTCACTGAGGGTTAAAAATAAGTATCACCACAATGTTCTATTAAATAGTTAATATTTTGAAAATTATCAGGACAGGTGATGTAGAATGTCACCAGGTCTGTCTATTCCCAGTAAGGCCTTTATGTGCTTCAGTAGGTCATTCCATGGATCCCAACACAATGAGAAGGTCTATTTCTAAAGGACTGCAAATGCTTTAGCAGTAGTAGAGTCACTGAGATTCCATATCATTATACCAAAGTAGCATGATACGAATGACTTCACTGAGTAAAATGCCCACAAAACTCCAATCCCTTGAGACAAGGAAGTATACATCTATTTTTCCTGCAGAACGTAGGAATTCCCTCTCAACAATTGGAAATTCATAGTTCTTAATTGCTGTAGAATGACAAGGATTGAAAAGGAAGTATTATTGGAGCGCTTTCACATCGACCAAGAAACAACAAGCTTCTAACTTTTTGTACTACAGCTGCTTTACACTGATGCAATATATGGAAACTTACAATGATGAAAATATACCCAGTCTCCACTCCTTCAAAAAATCGTTAAAAACCCACTTCTTCATAAAAGCGCATCAATTAAACCGTTAATAGCTCCTGACTGATTCCTCTTCTGCAACTGTCACTAGTCTAACACTATCCTGACCTTTTTGTGTCATTTTACCCCACTCCCTGTAGCATGTAAGCTCATTGAGCAGGGCCCTCAACCCCTCTGTTCCTGTGTGTCCAACTTGTCTGGTTATAACTACATGTCTGTTCGTCCACCTATTGTAAAGCGCTGTGGAATTTGGCGCTATATAAATACCATAATAATATTAGGAACATTCTTAGTGGTCTCTGTAAAACAAACTATTTTTATAACCAATGTTTGTTCTCTAGTGTTACTCAATCCAACCCTTCCAGATGAAAATCAAAATCGTCTTGACTTTGGCTACATTAACAGAGAAATGATTTATAGACAAAGGCCTGGCCCTACTATTTGTGAGCTGGAATAGCAGGCACTGTTGTTACTGGGCGAGGGGTTGTCTTTCTATGGGTTTTCTAAGATCTGTGACTTAACCTTGCATCTGTTGTGAACCCCACTAACTTGTTACCACTTATCTGCTTTGACTAGGTTAAATATGAATTCCCAAACTGGAGAACATTCTTGGTGGTGATTGCTTATAGGTTTATTTATGCACTACTCCTTTCTTGTCCAATTTTGGGTTCCTTAGGGTACTTTTCTTTATTCTGCGGACGATGCTGTCTGGTTGATTTACAGATATCTTCTCAATATAAGCCAGACCCTCACTAAGATGTTCTCCAGTTATTCTGGTTCCCGTTCCAGAAGACCACAGCGTTCACCAAGAACTGGAACCTACAAACAGCACTGATACAGTTTTATCTTTAGGTGGTTTATAATTGGCATTTTCTGTTCACCAGACTTTTGAAGTCAACATGACACATACTATGCTTTGTTTTCTTTCTTTTCCATACTTAGCAAGTTCCAATTTTCCCCTTTTTTGTCATTTCACAACCAAGCAAGTTTCCTAACAAACAAGATATATGTTCTGTGCCCTTTGTAGAGCGTGCAATAATCCTGTCTCTTGCTTTTTAATGAGGTTTTATTTTTTTCTTGTAGTTTTCACAAAAATATATATTTTTTTTTTTTCGGCTTCTCATTTCCAATGCATGGAGTTTCTCTAATTATCAATTTCTTTGTCCTTGCTTATTTACACTCCTGGAGAATTTTAATGTGTCTCCTCTAAATAATATATAAAAAAAATTTACCAATAGATTGCTCAGTTTTCTGTATTGTGCTTTTCGGGAAATGTATTTTGTTGCCACTTTTCTAACACACATTGACTGTACAGCTTCTTAATTCTTTGTACAAATTTCTTTGTAATGCTTGGTTTCTTACAATAAATGTTAAAAAAAATTTTAGTTATTAAAATTGTATACATGTTGTACATTTCATTTTAGGGTGTCTATCTTTAGGTGTCTCTCCACTTCCCTTGGGAACACAAGATAAATTGGGGAGGTGTTTTGTAGAATTTCAAGCAGGCTAAAAATTTTTGGGAAACCAAAATACTTTAAAGCGGCACTGCCATGCTGTACTTACCTTTTACCAATTGCTTTTTCTTCTCTTCATCTTTCCTAATCTTACTTTTTCCATTTTTCATCTTTTTCTAACTAAACACACAAGACAAAGTATGGACTTTTTTTAGACTCTGAGTGGAGTGTAAGTAAGCTTCACTTCCTGTGTCTAGGAAAGTTTTCACAGAATACTTGCCTTTCCTTCGTGTTCTCGCGTTGTGTTCCTTCACCCTTTCCAAGCTTCCTGTGAAGTGGGCATGCGCGGATATTACCCTGTGCGAGCTAGTGTGGGCTAATGAATAATATGCAGTAAACATAATTTCCAGGAACACTAAGATGGCGGAGCGTAGGAAATGGATCAGGACAAGAAATGAGGCAGTAAAAATTAGGGGCATGTAGGCATTTGTGGGGGATTAAAGGGAGGGAGTAAATAAAGTGTAGAGGATTTGGGAGAGAGGTTAAGAAAAACGCATGCGGCCATGACAGTGCAGCTTTACTTATATTACATTAAAATTGTTATGAATTATTCCTGCACTGTTGGTGTCTTAAATCATCCTAATTCTATATTTTAGATGGTAGTTACAGGTTAGAGAACTGGGAGTGAGGTTAACCTTGCATTCTAAATATACATAGTGTTATAAGTGAACCTGCGGTAGTATGGCTAAGTTGGAGCAAAAACGCTCAGAAACCGTTTGACACAAACCAGGAGATCAATGGTCAAAATCTCTTTGCAGCATAACTGCTAGAATTAGCTGTATTGGTTATGGTGTTTAGAAACCCCTCTGCGTTTTGTGCCCATTTTTAACACCGCTAAAGTTACACAAACCCCTTTTCTGAACAAAAATAATCTAGTCGTTTAACCTGTGATGGCTGAAGAACAGAAAAAAAACACACATTATCAAAATTAAGCTTGTAGAATAGTTTCATTTTTTTTTTTTTTATACAGACAAAAACGTTTTGCCTATTTAAATTTTGAAATTAAGATACATATTTGTTTATATTATACAGGGTGTTGGTCTTTCATATATAACTTTTTAGTTTTATTACAGGCAGGTTTTAACATATGTAGCAATCTGAACAAAATCAGCCATTCATTACATGTATATGCTTCAGACAGGCACCCCAATGTGAGTTTTTATGCCCTGCCCTGAAAAAAAAAAAATGTACAAGCGGTTTTCTTTATTAAAAAAAAAGAAATAGACAACATGGACATATTGCACTGTTCCCAAAACCCATCTAACTCCCTCCCCCCACCCCCAGTAAAATAAATTAGCAAAGCACGCTTACGTTTTGGCAGATTTATACAGCAGTAGTGGCTTTTTCTTTACTTTTTTTTACTTTTTTTTTTTTGGTTTTTAAATATATAATTCTTTGTATCATTTGCTCTATCAATATATCTACAATATTGAATGAAAAGAAGCCTGCAAATGAACCGTAATATTACACATTTTATCGTTAAATTAAACACCAAGATTTTTTTCTTTTTTTTTTTCTTTAACTATATTGTTACACTCGTATGCTGAAAGGAACAAAGTTGCATTTTTTTTTTCAATTTTACCAACCCCAGTTCCCCTCATATAAGTATTGAGCAGCAACTGCTTGAATGCGATTGTAGAACATAAATGGCTTAAACAAAGTACAGCTGGTAATTTTAATGGTAACATGGGCACTGACAAATTAATATTCTTGTTAGAAATTATAACCCTTGAAAAATAAATTGGACCCTGTAATGACATTTTTGTATATATTTTTTTTTCTATTTATACACACTTTATATCGCTGTATCAAACAGCATTCTACCACTACAGGGTCTATTGCAACAGACTTTTTATTCACCTTGCATTCATCTACCGCAACTGTGAATTTCTCATTTATGCCGTATGACCCTGTAACAGGAAAACAAAAACTGGCGTTTGAATACATAACGCAGGAGTTCCCATGGCTTATATTTTATGAAAAACAAGTAATTTCTTAAGTAAAGTTCTAGACAGCATCCTAAAAACACTTTAATGGAAGGCGTCACCTTATTTTGGCTAACTCATAGTACGAGGTTCCATCATTCATTTCAAAGCACATAGCAGTAGTCCATCATTCATCTCAGTCATTTATATAAGCTGAATAACAAGAGAGTGTCTTTGAAATTCCATTGAGTGTTGGGGAGGATGCTTCTCATTCTGTCTCTGTATTGTTTGCAGTATGCAACTGACTACAGGCATATTTCATTCATTCGACTATATGGCAGACTCCAAAACACAGAAAAAAAATAAAAATAGTAAATGAATCACTTAAAAAAAGAGGTTGCACCATCTTCAGCTACTTCCAGATTTTAGCTTCATCGAACGTTGCCTCTTGATCAGCCTTTGTCTTGAAGGACCTCTGGAGTTCCGCAAGATTTTGTTGCAACACATAGTGTGATATAAAGGTGTGAATGTAATGCATAGGGTTGGCTGTCCAGATCTCCTTGTTATTCACTTACATTTTAATACAGTTATAATACTACTTCCAAAGCAAATGTTTAAGGAAACCGAACCTTTTGTACTTTTCACCTCTCAAAGAACAGTGTACATGCAGACATGTAGGGTCATACAGGCACGATAATGAATAGAGAATGTAATCAAACGCATTTTTGATACAGGATGGCACAAAATTCAGCTGAAAAGAATATTTTCTTTTCCAGAAACATGTAAGCGGAGATGTAAAAAAGCCATGCAATGTTCGCAACAGTTAGTAATAAGGCTTTCAGTTTTTCCTTCGCAGCTATCACTCGACATTAATATTTTCTACACATGCTGTTTTAAACATTTTGGGAAAAATATATATATTTCATTTTTATTTATTTTATCATTTCAGATTTTGTTTTTGTCTTCATGGTTTCACAAATGTTATGTTGTTTGCTTGATGATTTTTTAGATCCTGTTCATAATTTGTTTAAATACAATCCCTTTGCTTAAAATTGTGTTTATAAAGCAAAGGTATGGTTGTTAAAGAACTTTTAAAATGCTACATTCTTCATTCAGATTTACATAACTGCCCTACATCAGTAGTTTCAAAAAGCAGTCCTTCGGGAACATGAAAGATTCGGATTTAAAAATGCATAATTCTTTTCCAATGGAACTATCAATAAAACATGGTTTGATGCTTGTTGTCGAGGACTGCTTTGAGAACAACTGTCCTATGTTATAACAAAAAAATAAAAATAAACAAAAGGCAAGATGACAAAAAAACAAAAATTAAAAACGCCAAGATGTCTTATGGGTGCGTTCACAAAGCTGAAGACACACCTTTAATTTGATTGGTACTCTATTGCTAACAATAATCAGCTCTTATATATAAATATATTAAAGAATGATTAAAGACACCATGATGGAAACCAGAATAAAAATGGCTGCAGATGAAGCGATATAACCGACATTTAAACATTTTTTTTATATTTCTTTTATGTGTTTGAGAGTTCCACTTGAAAGCCCCTAATCTCTTCCCAGCCTGATCTACTGTACTTTGGCATCACCTTTATTTTTCTTCAGTTACAGTATTTACACATATCCGAACTGACATTTAGAATTTTATTGTTTCAGATGCAGTTTGAGCTTCTGGTTGCAAAGCACGTACCAGCTGATCTGTGTTAATTTATGATGGTCTCCAACAAGTGCGAATTTGTTCATATGGAAGTATCAATACCCAATCTGTAACACATTTTGGTCTTGAGTATCATGACTACTTTTGTTGTTGCTTGGCAGAGTTGACTAGAGTTGTCTTCGTTGTTTCATTTTGGCTTTGCTGACCTACCAGCAGAACAAAAGAAAACAAAGAAAAAAAAAAGAGAGAGAAGAGTCCGAAAAGTCCTATTTCTTGCTGTTCTTGAAGACTAGTTTGGTATTCTGTTAGAGAGATGTCTCCACACTGTGCAATGGGCTTTCAGGGTTGGAAGAGGCAGCTGACCTGCTGGTGTCTGTGGTCAAGTAAATGCCGCTATCTATGGCATTGTTGTTCTTGTTAGGAGAGGAAGGTGGGATGGACCAGAGCACTTTCCCCGAAGGTTCATCACTGTCTTCCACATCTGTGTCATCAATAAGGGGGATGTTATGGATATAATCGTTGATCAGAAACTCAGGGGTAGTCATGAAATTGTGAATAGAGGTCTTTGATTCAGGTTTCTCTAGGCCTTCGTAGAGGGAACTACGGAATGCTTTCACCACTCGGATCTGAAAAGGTTTATGTTAGGTTG